TCTCTCTCTCTCTCTCTCTCTCTCTCTCTCTCTCTCTCTCTCTCTCTCTCTCTCTCTCTCCTCTCTCTCTCTCTCTCTCTCTCTCTCTTCTCTCTCTCTTTCTCTCTCTGTCTCTCTGTCTCTCTCTGTCTCTCTCTCTCTCTGTTTCTCTCTCTCTCTCTGTCTCTCTCTCTCTGTCTCTCTGTCTGTCTCTCTCTCTCTCTCTCTCTCTCTCTCTTCTCTCTCTCCTCCTCTCTCTCTCTCTCTCTCTCTCTCTCCTCTCTCTCTCTCTCTCTCTCCTCTTTCTCTCTCTGTCTCTCTGTCTCTCTCTGTCTCTCTCTCTCTCTGTTTCTCTCTCTCTCTCTGTCTCTCCTCTCTGTCTCTCTCTCTGTCTCTCTCTCTCTCTCTCTGTCTGTCTCCCTCTCTCTCTCTTTCTATAAATATATATATTCCCGAGAAAGAACTTTCACCATCATTCACTCCATCACTGTCTTGCCAGAAGGATGCTTTACACTACAGTTTTTAAACTGCAACATTAACACCCCTCTTCAGAGTGCAGGCACTGTACTTCCCATCTCCAGGACTCAAGTCCGGCCTGCCGGTTTCCCTGAACCCCTTCATAAATGTTACTTTGCTCACACTCCAACAGCACGTCAAGTATTAAAAACCATTTGTCTCCACTCACTCCTATCAAACACGCTCACGCATGCCTGCTGGAAGTCCAAGCCCCTCGCACACAAAACCTCCTTTACCCTCTCTCTCCAACCTTTCCTAGGCCGACCCCTACCCCGCCTTCCTTCCACTACAGACTGATACACTCTTGAAGTCACTCTGTTTCGCTCCATTCTCTCTACATGTCCGAACCACCTCAACAACCCTTCCTCAGCCCTCTGGACAACAGTTTTGGTAATCCCGCACCTCCTCCTAACTTCCAAACTGCAAATTCTCTGCATTATATTCACACCACACATTGCCCTCAGACATGACATCTCCACTGCCTCCAGCCTTCTCCTCGCTGCAACATTCGTCACCCATGCTTCACACCCATATAAGAGCATTGGTAAAACTATACTCTCATACATTCCCCTCTTTGCCTCCAAGGACAAAGTTCTTTGTCTCCACAGACTCCTAAGTGCACCACTCACTCTTTTCCCCTCATCAATTCTATGATTCACCTCATCTTTCATAGACCCATCCGCTGACACGTCCACTCCCAAATATCTGAATACATTCACCTCCTCCATACTCTCTCCCTCCAATCTGATATTCAATCTTTCATCACCTAATCTTTTTGTTATCCTCATAACCTTACTCTTTCCTGTATTCACCTTTAATTTTCTTCTTTTACGCTCCTGTCCAAACTCGTCCACCAACCCCTGCAACTTCCTTTATATAATATATATATATATATATATATATATATATATATATATATATATATATATATATAATATATATATATAATATGTATATATATGGTGCCGAATAGGTAAAACTGGTCAGTTAGCAAGAACTCATTTAAAATTAAGTAATTTCTAAGATTTTCTCTTATATGTTTAAAGATATATTTTTTTCATTTGTGTTAATGTAAAAATTAATTATTTTGTACCAAAAGCACCTTAGAAAACTTACCTAACCTTGTTATAACAATGGAATATATTTTTTTTTCGTTAGGTTCAGAATGATTTTTTGCGAAATTATTGCATACACAAATTTTCGCTTCCTTATTCGGCAAGAAGTGCGTTGCTATTTAACCAAAATCGCAAGTTTTGCCTTTTACCTATTCGGCACGACATATATATATACCTTGTAGAAGATACAATGTACCTTGTAGAAGATACAATGTACCTTGTAGAAGATACAATATACCTTGTAGAAGATACAATGTACCTTGTAGAAGATACAATGTACCTTGTAGAAGATACAATGTACCTTGTAGAAGATACAATATACCTTGTAGAAGATACAATATACCTTGTAGAAGATACAATGTACCTTGTAGAAGATACAATATACCTTGTAGAAGATACAATTTTACCTTGTAGAAGATACAATGTACCTTGTAGAAGATACAATGTACCTTGTAGAAGATACAATGTACCTTGTAGAAGATACAATGTACCTTGTAGAAGATACAATGTACCTTGTAGAAGATACAATGTACCTTTGTAGAAGATACAATGTACCTTGTAGAAGATACAATGTACCTTGTAGAAGATACACTGTACCTTGTAGAAGATACAATGTACCTTGTAGAAGATACAATGTACCTTGTAGAAGATACACTGTACCTTGTAGAAGATACACTGTACCTTGTAGAAGATACAATGTACCTTGTAGAAGATACAAATGTACCTTGTAGAAGATACAATGTACCTTGTAGAAGATACAATGTACCTTGTAGAAGATACAATGTACCTTGTAGAAGATACAATGTACCTTGTAGAAGATACAATGTACCTTGTAGAAGATACAAATGTACCTTGTAGAAGATACACTGTACCTTGTAGAAGATACAATGTACCTTGTAGAAGATACAATGTACCTTGTAGAAGATACACTGTACCTTGTAGAAGATACACTGTACCTTGTAGAAGATACAATGTACCTTGTAGAAGATACAATGTACCTTGTAGAAGATACACTGTACCTTGTAGAAGATACAATGTACCTTGTAGAAGATACAATGTACCTTGTAGAAGATACAATGTACCTTGTAGAAGATACAATGTACCTTGTAGAAGATACAATGTACCTTGTAGAAGATACAATGTACCTTGTAGAAGATACAATGTACCTTGTAGAAGATACACTGTACCTTGTAGAAGATACAATGTACCTTGTAGAAGATACAATGTACCTTGTAGAAGATACACTGTACCTTGTAGAAGATACACTGTACCTTGTAGAAGATACAATGTACCTTGTAGAAGATACAATGTACCTTGTAGAAGATACAATATACCTTGTAGAAGATACAATGTACCTTGTAGAAGATACAATGTACCTTGTAGAAGATACAATGTACCTTGTAGAAGATACAATGTACCTTGTAGAAGATACAATTACCTTGTAGAAGATACACTGTACCTTGTAGAAGATACACTGTACCTTGTAGAAGATACAATGTACCTTGTAGAAGATACAATGTACCTTGTAGAAGATACAATATATCTTGTAGAAGATACAATGTACCTTGTAGAAGATACAATTTTACCTTGTAGAAGATACAATGTACCTTGTAGAAGATACAATGTACCTTGTAGAAGATACAATGTACCTTGTAGAAGATACAATGTACCTTGTAGAAGATACACTGTACCTTGTAGAAGATACAATGTACCTTGTAGAAGATACAATGTACCTTGTAGAAGATACAATGTACCTTGTAGAAGATACAATGTACCTTGTAGAAGATACAATGTACCTTGTAGAAGATACAATGTACCTTGTAGAAGATACATGTACCTTGTAGAAGATACAATGTACCTTGTAGAAGATACAATGTACCTTGTAGAAGATACAATGTACCTTGTAGAAGATACAATGTACCTTGTAGAAGATACAATGTACCTTGTAGAAGATACAATGTACCTTGTAGAAGATACAATGTACCTTGTAGAAGATACAATGTACCTTGTAGAAGATACAATGTACCTTGTAGAAGATACAATGTACCTTGTAGAAGATACAATGTACCTTGTAGAAGATACAATGTACCTTGTAGAAGATACACTGTACCTTGTAGAAGATACAGGTGGCGCTCAGAGGGGCAACTGTTGAAATCTCTTCGTCAGCGGAAGTTCAATATTAGAAAATTTGTCTTGGTGCGCTGAGCTCACTCGAGTATGTTGAGCTTACTCGGGTATGCTGAGCTCACTCGGATATGCTGGGCTCACTCGGATATGCTGGGCTCACTCGGGTATGCTGACCTCACTCGGGTATGCTGAGCTCACTCGGATATGCTGGGCTCACTCGGGTATGCTGAGCTCACTCGGATATGCTGGGCTCATTCGGGTATGCTGAGCTCACTCGGGTATGCTGACCTCACTCGGATATGCTATGCTCACTCGGATATGTTGGGATATATCCCTATCCGCACTTGAATATGTATATTGATATGTTGTATTTTTGCGGGGAGGAACACGGGGTGTCAAAGACAACGCGGGGCGAGACGGAGGAACACGGGGTACTGCAGACAACACGGGGTGTTGCAGTCATCCAGCGTTGACGGTAACCTGCGTATTAGTAACCGGCTGATGTACCTACTACCTACTTTGTTGCTGGAGCGACGCTGCAATAAACCCGGCTGAGGAGCGGATGCCAGGAGCCAGCTTCAGCACCTAGCACTTGGACGTTCCGGGATGGACACATTTGGCACCTGGTAGCACCTGAGACTTGGCACCTAGTAGCACCTAAGACTTGGAACCTGGTAGCGCCTGACACTATGCACATGGTAACACTTGACACCAGGTGACACCTAAGACTTGGTACCCAAGACTTAGCACCTAACACTTGGATGCCTCGTGGTGAACACACTCAGCACCTGGTAGCACCAAAGACTTGGCACCTGGTAGCACCTGGCACCTTGTGGCACCTAACACTTGAACGCCCCGTGGACACACTCAACACCTAGCTTCACTATTGTTGAAGTTATTGACAGTGAGACGTGGTGAAGGCAGTGCGGGTGCCAGCAGGCACCGCAGCTTGCAGACAAGCGAGAGCCGCATACCTTCGCCGCTACCGCCGCCGCCACACGGACCTACGGACCTGCCGCCGCCGACCACGGACCTAAGAACCAACAAGAACCAACAGAAGCCACGGGACCACAAGACCCGCCAGGTTTTACCTTGCTGAAGACGTGACGAAAGAGGAAAAAAAGAGGTAGCCTAAGGCGTCTGATCTTGGCCAACAAATCAAATCTCTCGACTGCCTATCACATTTGCACCCCCTAATGAGGGCAGAGCCGCGGGTAATTAAGGCTAAATTTGCAAAATACGGGGATAATGGTGACTACTTACCGATGGAGGACGGTGCTAAGGCGGTCAGCATGTCCAGCGCTCCCGGGCAGACAGACTAGGCACTCCCAGATCCACTCTTTCAACCTTAGATTATGAAAAGCGCGTTCGCTCCGCTGATTACGTACATATGAAGTAATATGCTCGCTAGACAAGATCTCA